TTTGTCAGCTACCACTCAATTGGTTACAACAGCAATTGCTTGTAACCCCTATGTCGACGTACTGTGACCCACCATAGCGTACCAGAGGACAATGTGGACGAATTGAAATACCTTTGGCAAACGGCTACACTCGCAACTTTTTTGGCGCAGTTGCATGCACATGAGACGAAACCGCACCAGCCCCAACGTTTGCCAAAACCTACCGCATGTGACGAACGTCGTGGAAGCTCCTAGCCGTCTTATTACACCACCCGGCGTCGGAGTTGCACACCAAGAAGAAACAACTATCCGGCGCCAAGTACTGCGGTCCAAAGAGCTGCCGCCATGGCAAGAGAAGCCTGGAGTCGTTTACTGAAACTGCTGCAGTAGCGTGCAGAACAACTACGTCGGAGAAACTGAAATACTTAACTACAGGAGGATGACCGGACATGCGCAGAGCAGCGACTCTCAAGTCACAGCTCATGCAATGGGACCGCGCAATGCAACTAAGTTTGACAAGACCGACATTGTTGCAAGGGCTGGCAGCCGAGTGAGCCCTGAACAGCTGGAGTCCTTGGTTTCTTATCAGAAGTCAAGTCACAAGCGCAATTAATTCGCGGCTCCATAGTCCGTGATGAGACACTTCCTTTGCAGAATACTTAGTCATATTACCAAATAAACATGACGCCTTATCTCGTCTGCGTATGCACCGGCCGATAAAATTGTTCTTAGCCCCCGTGGAAGTTATTGTAATTCAGCAACTTCTTCCAGTTCACTGCAATGCGTCTCACCGCATCAAAATAGTGCTCTTACGCAGCTGTGTTTGTGACTGATCGGATGGTTTCTGTTGAATTTCAGGATTTCCATAATGTTGGTCGCTTTCTTGAACACTTTAGTTTTTAGGCCATCGCCATCTCTGTGGCATACAAGGACATCCGGGGAGGATTTCTGGTTGTTTTCTTTATCGTCTGTCGTAAGTTGAATATCTGTGTAAGATGCGATTGCTGGAACGAGACGCGAATGACGGAGCACGCAGCAGCAGCAGTCAGGGAGAAAGACACTAACTCCCTTGTTGCAGCTCACTCGACGGGGCCCGGCAATATTTTAAAGTTTGACGAGGCAGAAATCCTCGCAAGGAGTGACCACCGCGTGAGCCGCGAGCTGCTCGAGTCATGCTTCTCAAGGCCGCAGTCAGCCAAAAAGCGCAACAATTTGCCGTTCCCATAATCCGTACTGAGACGTTGTCTGAGCAGGATAATAAGTCGCGTGGGAAAGGCCGGACCCAGCAACAACTCTGACGACAGCGAACATAATTGTCGCATAATGATCCAGCCCGCGTCCAACACGGATGATAAGATTGTGGCAATTTATGACTCCGAAGTGGACTGCGAAACCACCATCGCATCAAATACGAACTCCCAGTGGCGGTTACAGAAGCTGATAATTATAATGCGCATGTAAGCGCGTCGCCACATACTACGTAATCTGTACATTTCATATCCTATTTCTCGGTTACCACTGATGAAGGGTGCTCGACGGAATCCGAAACTTCGGGCTAATAAACTCCTTGTTTCAGCGATGGCATCTTCTACTTGTGAGAAAATAAGTAGTAGTTATTGTGCTAACCCCTTTCTTTACACTTCTGAACTGCTTCCTTGAATTCGCCTGTTAGTATCTATCGGGAACTGAAATACTTCACTACATGAGGATGGCTGTGTTAGGACGGCCTTACGAACAGCCTTAGCAAGCAGTAGCTTGCAAGC